CATTAAATCATATTTCACATAGGAGTCTTTCACATTTCACCAAAGCAACGCATTTCTGGTCCATCGAGTCTCCTGCAGAACTGAGTCCACACGAGATGCGAACACACGAACCCACGTCAGAGAGAGGGATTCTTAGCGAGAGCTTAGGGTTATTTCATCCTTCCATGCATAGGGTGAAACTTAGGCAGGAAATCCCAAAAAATTTTCCTACATTCATATAAAATGAGCACAGTTTGAGGAAGGAGAAAGAAAGCATGACTCACCTTGGCCATGGCTTTCAGAATAGCAAGGACCATTGAGTCCTCCTCCAGGTTCCTCTCCTGGGGAAGGGTGAGTCCTGAGAAGGCAGAACCAAGGAGGAAAGACAACATGAACGGTCAGGCTTGCCTTCCAGAACAGGTTGCAATTCTCTTCTTCTCTCATCTCGTTTCCGCCTTCCAGTGTTCATGAAAATACTGAGCATTTTGGACAGACTTTGAACACATACCCCACTCCCAAATTCTGCTCCTCCCATGTTACTTGCCCTGCATGATGATAATGTTAATTCTTGGGACACCTGGGTGGCTCATACGTTGAGCATCTGCCGTCCACTCAGGTCATGATCTCAGGGTCCTGGCACTGAGTCCCGCATCAGGCTCCCTGCTCGGCGGGGAGCCTGCTTCTTCTCTCTCTCTGCTGCTCCCCCTACTTGTACTGTCAAACAAAAATAAAAAATGTTGGGGCGTCTGGGTGGCTCAGTGGGTTAAAGCCTCTGCCTTTGGCTCAGGTCATGATCTCGGTGTCCTGGGTTCGAGCCCCACATTGGGCTCTCTGCTCAGTGGGGAGCCTGCTTCCCTTCCTCTCTCTCAGTCTGCCTCTCTGCCTACTTGTGATCTCTGTCAAATAAATAAATAAAGTCTTTTAAAAAATGTTAAAAAAGAAAAAGAAAAAGATTTTATTTATTTGAGACAGCACGGGAGCACAGAGGGAGAGGGAGAAGCAGAATCCCTGCTGAGCAGAGAGCCCAATGTGGGGCTCGATCCCAGGACCCCGAGATCATAATCTGAGCCAAAGGCAGAAGCTTAGCTGATTAAACCATCGAGGCACTCCTACTTGAGTATATTTAAGTTGAAATGGAAATCATGAGTGGGTCTGGCAGAAAGTAATGTAGGCATCAAATAAATGACATAAGAGCAAAACTGAAAGCTTCAGATTCAGTTTATATTAGTGAAATGGAGGAAATGTGAAAGAATAAGCTGTGAAGGAAAGGAAAAAGAAAGCAAGAGTCTTCTCTTCTTGGAGGAGAATGGCAAAGGCAATTAATGGTGGGTGAGGAAGTTTAATACTGCTTTCATTCTGCCCAAATAATGATTAAGAATGGGGAGAGGGGCACCTGGGTGGGTCAGTTGATTAGGCAACTGCCTTCAGCTCAGCTCATGATCCTAGAGTCCTGGGATCGAGTCCCGTATCAGGCTCTCTGCTCAGCAGGGAGTCTGCTTCTCCCTCTGACCCTTTCCCCTCTCTCAAATAAATAACCTAAAAAAAAAAAAAAGAAGAAAAGAAAAAGATGATAAAAGGGAGATAACCACTACCTAAGCATAGTGGGACATTCCAACTTAGCAAAGGGGGAAATAATCAGCCAACATAAGGAAAGGAAAAGACCAAAATAACACAAATAGGACATACAACGTAAAATGAAAGAGATGAAGTTGAATTATGTCAAAATGTGAATTTTAGGGATGCCTGGGTGGCTCAGTGGGTTAAAGCCTCTGCCTTTGGCTCAGGTCATGATCTCGGGGTCCTGGGATCGAGACCCACATCGGGCTCTCTGCTCAGCAGGGAGCCTGCTTCCTCCTCTCTCTCTGCCTGCCTCTCTGCCTACTTGTGATCTCTGTCAGTCAAATAAATAAAATATTTTTTAAGGGGCTCCTGGGTGGCTCGGTGGCTTAAGCATCTGCCTTTGGCTTGGGTCATGATCCCAGGGTCCTGGGATCGAGCCCTGCATCAGGCTCTCTGCTCAGCGGGAGCCTGCTTCCCACTCTCTCTCTGCCTACTTGTGATCTCTCACTCTCTGTCAAATAAATAAATAAAATCTTTTAAAAAAAATCTTTTTTGGGGCGCCTGGGTGGCTCAGTGGGTTAAAGCCTCTGCCTTCAACTCAGGTCATGATCCCATGATCCCAGGATCCTGGGTTCGAGCCCCACGTCGGGCTCTCTGCTCAGCAGGGAACCTGCTTCCTCCTCTCTCTCTGCCTGCCTCTCTGCCTACTTGTGATCTCTGTCTGTCAAATAAATAAATAAAATCTTTAAAAAAAAATCTTTTTTAAGAGGTGAATTTTACACTAAAAAAAACATACTTTGTATTTTAAAAAATCAACTGTTTCTTTTTTTCAGTTTTAAGAAATAACTGAAATGACAGGGGTTGAAAATAAAGGGATGAGCAAAAATATACCAGGTGAACAAAGACAAATCATTATTAGTAGTGTTCCCCAGTATGGAAATAAAATGCCAAAGGGTTGGCAAACGTTTTATTTGAAGGCCAGTCAATACAGACTTTGTGGTTATAGTCTTTGTTGCAACCACTCAGTTCTGCTGTTGTAGTGCAAAAGCAGTAGACCGTGAGCATGGCTGTGTTCCAATAAAGCATTATTTATAAAACAGGCAGCCAGATTTGGTCTGTCAACCCCTACACATGGCAAAGTAGGATATTATATAATGACAAAAGGTACAATTCATCAATAGGGGTCAAGTTGCAGGTCTTTAAAAATCCAGCAACATAAATTAAAAAGTAAAAATCTCTGAAAATTCAAGATTTGGGTTTAAAAAATTAATTTTAGGAAATTCTGATCCAGTGTACCAAATTATCTAAGAACCTGGAGGATTTTATCATTATTGTCCACTGGCTTAAACAGAATCTTATAACCAAGAAAAGTAGAATATATACTCTTTTTCTTTTCTTTTTTTTTTTTTAATTTTATTTATTTATTTATTTGACAGAGATCACAAGTAGGCAGAGAGAGAGGAAGGGAAGCAGGCTCCCTGCCAAGCAGAGAGCCCAATGTGGGGCTTGATCCCAGGACCCTGGGATCATGACCTGAGCCGAAGGCAGAGGCCTTAACCCACTGAGCCACCCAGGTGCGCCTATACTCTTTTTCAAAAAATGTTACAGAATATATACAAAAATCCATCCTATATCTAGCCACCAAGAGAAATGTCAAATTTAAAGAAGTAGGTATTTTCAGGCCACATTTACCAATCATAGTAAAATAAAATTTGAAGTTACATAATTTAGGGTGGTTTTGGCTACGTTTACAAAACAACAAAAGTAATTTCAGCAATAAAGGTTTCTTTTCTTTTCTTTTTAAACATAACAAGGCTTCACAGAGAGTTCCAGAATTGGCCTGGTGGCTCTGGGTCAGCTCCTCTGAGCTCCTCAGCTTTCTCCTTTTGGTTCCAACATGGCTACAACAGCTCTGGGCATTATGCTCTCACAGGAGAATATTTAAAAGCAGAAAAGAGGCGAGGGAGTCTTCCTAATAGATCTGTCTCTTCTGAATGAGGAAAATCTTTCCCAGAAGCCCCTACAGATGCCTGGAACATACAGGCCATCCTGAGCTGCATAAGAGGCTGAAAAGTTAGCATCTGATACCATCCGAGTATAAGGCAAGATACAGACACTGCCAGTAGGAGGGGAATAGGGTAGGGGCGCCATGTAGCCAACAAGCCCCTTCCGTTTGTGACAGAAGTGATGAAAGATAATCTAAAACAACATGGAAATCAAGAAGTACTAGCTTAAATTTTGTTTATTCTTGGGTCAGAGAGAAATAAAAACTGAGATTATTCTAAGATAACCAGTTTCTAATTTCATTATTTTTATTTTGTACCAATTTGTTCTTTCTTCACCTTAGTGTTTGGGACTGTCTTTTCTGGCTTCTTGAATAGTACATTTAATATATTTGAGGATAATCTTTCAGGTTTTCGTGCTTTGCATGCATTTTAAAACCATACAAATTCTTCTGAGTAACTTTGTCCACATCCTACAACTCCTGGAATGTAAATCTCTCAATGGTAGTTCTTTTCATTATCATGCATGATAATTTGCATGATCTATTTCTTTATTAACCCAAGGGTAATGGGGTATCTGGCTGGCTTAGTCAGTAGAGCATGTGACTCTTGATCTCAGGGTCGTGAGTTTGAGGTGCACATTGGGTGTGGTGCCTACTTTAAAAAAAGAAAAAAGTTGAACCCAAGAGTAATTTGGCTGGGTTTTCTTTCTAATCGCCAAGAAAATTAAAACTTTTGGCTTTTGTTGGGATGCCGCGGTGGCTCAGTCGGTTAAGCACCTGCGTCCGGCTCAGATCATTATCCCAGGGTCTTGGGATCAAGTCCTGCATTGGATTCCTTGCTCAGCGGGGAGCCTGCTTCTCCCTCTGCCTGTGCTCGCTCACTCTGACAGACGAATAAATTAAAAAAAAATTAAAAAATAAAAAAAAATTTAAAAAACCAACAAACTTTTGGCTGTTGTTAAAATTATTACAGTGTGGTAAAAAAATGTGATCCTGTAATATGTTAGAGACGAATGTTTTTCAACCTTTCCTTGCTTCTTTAATAATCATGGTCTAAACAATTTATAACCATAAAATTTTTCATTATGAACCTTACGACTCAGGATAAAGGACAGCTTGAATGAAGGCATTCCCATTTGCAGTACATTTTTCAAGTCTTTCTCCAAAATATAAGGAGTAAGTTGGGCCTTGCCTAAGCTAATGGGCTCTCCCCATTGCTTCCACTGATGTGGCTGCTTGCTAACATCAACTCTCTGATGATTAGTAAAGGATAAGTGCTGATGGAAGGCTTTTCTACATTTATTATATTCCTTTGGCTTTCCTTCTTACGCATTCTCTGATGTTGGCCAGCAGTTGAATCGCGATGTAAAGTCCTCCCACGTCCCTTATGTTCACAGGACTTTCCCTCAGTATGGATCCCCTGATGCTGAATCAGTTGTGAGCAGTGACCGAAGGCCTTCCCACATTCCTTACACTCATACGGCTTCTCACCCGTATGAATTCTGTAATGTACAGTAAGATGTGAGACGCGTTTGAAAGCCCTACCGCAGACCCTGCATTGGTAGGGTTTCTCTCCAGTGTGAATTCTCTGATGTTGCTGAAGCTGTGAGCTCACCCTGAAGGCCTTCCCACACGCCTTGCATTCATAGGGTTTCTCGCCAGTATGGATTCTCTGATGTCTAATAAGAGTTGAGCCTTGGTTAAAGGCCTTCCCACATCCCTTACATTCATAGAGTTTCTTGCCCGTATGAATAGTCTGATGTTGAATCAGCTGAGACCGATGACTAAAGGTCTTCCCACAGTCCTTGCACGCATAGGGTTTTTCACCAGTATGGATTCTATAATGTACTTTAAGGTGTGAGATCCTGTTGAAGGCCTTGCCACATTCCTTACATTGATAGGGCTTCTCACCAGTATGAATTCGCTGATGTTCAATCAGCTGTGAGCTTCGGCTAAAGGCCTTTGCACAATGCTTACATTCATAAGGTTTCTCACCAGTATGAACTCTCTGATGTTGTACGAAATTTGAGCCGGAATTGAAGGCCTTTCCACATTCGTTACATTCATAGGGCTTCTTGCCAGAGTGAATATTCTCATGCTGAATTAGTCGTGAGCCGTATTTAAAGGCCTTGCCGCATTCCTTACATTTATAGGGTTTCTCATTAGCATGACTGTCTTGATGATTAATAAGGAAGTCTTCCTGCCAGAAGTCTTTTCTACATTCGTTATAGCCATAAGGTTTTTCTTCAGGATGAATTTTCTGATAAAAAGGAAAGGATGCTTGTTGGTTTAAAGTGGGTATTTCTTCACGATTGATCACCATTTGACTCAGCTGTCCATCCGCATTTCCCTGTTGTCCGTCAAACTGGCTTCTGCATTCCCAATCATCTTGGAACCTGGAGCACTCAAGACCGTAACTTGCAAGGCTTTCCATTAACTCCCACTGTGGCGACTGTATTTCATAAATGTGCTGCTCTGGGGAGGATGCCTGGCTATCACACTTGGACTCCGAGACTGAAAAAAACAGGGGAAAAAAAAAAAAGTATGTGTTTTTTCCCCCATTTCCAGAAAAAGGAACTTCTGTAGTGAAAGCTAGAAAACTTAAACCCATGATTTTACCCATAAGCTCTTGAATGTGGCTGGGCAATTAGAAAATGGAAAGTAGAACAGACAGAGGAAATACCATAAATTGAGATGAAGTAGTCAGAGGGAGGTTATAAGAGTAGATCCAAAATGTTAGTGTGGATCAGAATCACCTCTGAACCATGTTTTTTTAAAAAAATGAATGTTTCAGGGCACCTGGATGGCTCAGTGGGTTAAGCATCTGCCTTCAGCTCAGGTCATGATCCCGGGGTCCTGGGATCGAGTCCCGAATCGGGCTCCCTGCTCGGCAGGGAGCCTGCTTCTCCCTCTCCCACTCCCCCTGCTTGTGTTCCCTCTCTCGCTGGTCTCTCTGTCAAATAAAGAAATAAAATCTTTTAAAAAAAAATGAATGTTTCTATGAACCCCTGGAAAACACATACAATCTAGAGTGACAGACGAAGTCACTGGGTGCCTGGGGCTGGGAAAATGAGCAGTCGTGTGGAAGGAGCACAAGGGAACTTTTCAGGGTGGTGAAGTGTTCTCTAGTCTGTGGTTACAGTTATGCAAGTGTATAGATGAGTCCAAACTCATCAAAATATTGTACTTAAAATGTATGCATTTTATTGACTATAAATTATACCTCCATAAAGAGATTTTTAAAAATGATGGGGAAGGGTGGCTGGATCTTCATCTGGCCAGGGGTACACGATGGCACATTCGCTTTCAAGGGGAAGTGGTAGGACAGGGAGGCAGGCTGGTCTCGCCTCTCCACCGGGAGCTACAGTAACACAGCTGTGGTGTCCTGCTGTGATGCTTTCTATCTCTGAAGTTCAACTGAATACCATGGCTTAGACCTGGTGGTCTACTACACCAGCCTCTCCGGGACCTTTCCATTGCCTAAATGTGACCCAGGAAAAAGAAGGGCTCTGTTCCTTGTTTAGAGGATCAGGCCACAACTTAATGGGGCGAGTTCTTCGGAGCAACATTCTTTGCTGCCTATTCCGACTGCAAGGAAAAGTCAAATGGTGTACTCGATCCTGGTTTTAACTATGATGTGCTCTCAGCTGCAGCAGCCCGTTTTATGTAACCACAGCAACCAATCCCATTTGTCTAATAAAGAATTAGTTATAGCTTAATGCAAGGAAATGTGGGGAGAGCAAATGGATGCTTCTGAATGTGCTTATAAAGTGTAGTAGACAGAAGCACCCGGGGGGCTCAGCCAGTTATGCGTCTGTCTGCCTTCAGCTCGGGTCATGACCCCAGGGTCCTGGGATGGAGTCCTGCATCGGGTTCTCTGCTCAGTGGGGAGCCTGCTTCGCCCTCCGCCTGCCGCCCCCTCTGCTTGTGCTCTCTCTGCCAAATAAATAAATAAGATCTTTAAAAGAAAAAAAAAGTGCAATAGACAGATGACCAAAGAAGACTTTATAGGAACAGGTCTGCTTCATATGGTGGCATATCACAGAACATTATTCACTTGGTTATCTGTGAAAGTATTAAGGAAAAACTCCTAGAATAAAAAATTAGTTTGACAATGAAACATGATGAAGAGTCTATGAAAGAAATCATCAGTTTGTGGGAATGACGCTGGTGTCATCTCAAAACCTCGTACTATATAACCCCAACGCGTCCACGTGAAGTTGTAAGAACAAGACTATGTGAAGAGGACACAAAGTATAGATATTTTTTTTCAGACACCATGTGTGGTTATTCAGAAAGAAGGTTCTGGGTCTATTCACTGTGGTCTGACAATTCCGGTGAGACAGACTCCAAATCGGCCATGATGATGGCAGCCCGTGGATTAGTGGCTGACCTACTCATCCTATAAATGACAGCCGGAAGACCTCAGTGGAACAGGGGCCATTAAAGCCAGCCTGGCAGAAACAGAAGATGAGTTTGGGAATGCTTACCTTTGCCCAAATGGAAATTTGGTTTTAGGAACTAAAGTAAGGCACATTACTTGCTTTTTGGGCAATGTGGGGAAAAACCCTGGCTGCCTCCGAGGACAGGCCACTAAAATCACTCCTCTCTCCAGAACACCAGAACACCACTTTTTCCATTTTTCTATCACAGACACCTGACACAGTTGTACTGATTTATGGCCGAGTATGATGTTGTTTATTATATGAGCCCTTTCACACTCCTCTACATTAAGCCATCCCTAACTATATACTGTGTTGGAAGCATCCAAAGGTAATACTGACAGTCATAATTTCTGACTTCTGGCTTCTGTTCAGCTCCCTATTAAGTTGCAAAATCGCAACAAGAATAGTGAGGTCTCTTCTGTATTAACTTAATGTTTTCCTGACAGGGACTGGCAGAGTACCTTAAAGTTCATTTCTTAGCATTAGTGTCACTGTTTTGGACAACCGAAGAAATATGTCTAAAAATCTTACATATAGTCTCAGCATCAAGATATTTTAGCTTCCTCATATGAACCTGAAGGGATCCCAACAGCCAAAATAATCTTGAAAAAGAACAAAGTTGGAGGTCTCACACTTCCTGATTTCAAAACATACCACAAAGCCACAGTAATCAACACAGTGTGGTACTAGCATAAAGGCCAGATGTATAGACAAATGGAACAGAACAGAGAGCCCAGAAATAAACCTCCATGCATATGGTCAAATGATCTATGCTAGGGAGCCAAGACAACACAATGAGGAAAGGACAGTCTCTTCTACAAATGGTTCTGAAGAAATTGGATATCCACATGCAAAAGAAGGAAGCAGGACCCTTATCTTTTTTTTTTTTTTTTTTTTAAAGATTTTATTTATTTATTTGACAGACAGATCACAAGCAGGCAGAGAGGCAGACAGAGAGAGAGGAGGAAGCAGGCCCCCTGCTGAGCAAAGAGCCCGATGTGGGACTCGATCCCAGGACCCTGAGATCATGACCTGAGCCGAAGGCAGAGGCTTTAACCCACTGAGCCACCCAGGCGTCCCGCAGGACCCTTATCTTATACCATATACAAAAATTAACTCAAAATGGATTAAATACCTAAATGTAAGACCTAAAAATGTGAAGTTCCTAAAGAAAGCACAGGGGGAATGTGCAATGTCATGACATTGCATTTGGCAATGATTTCTTGGATATGGCACTAAAGGCCAGGTAACAAAGCAAAAATAGACAAATGAGACTGTCTCAAACGTAAAAGCTTTCATGCATCAAAGGAAAGAGTCAAAAAAGTAAAAAAAAAAAAAAAAAAAAGTATATCTTCAGAAGAGGAGAAAATATTTCTAAATCACGTATCTGACAACAGGTTACTATCCAGGATCTATGAAGAACTCCTACAATTCAACAACAAAAAACTACCCTATTCAAAAATTGGCAAAGGACTTAAATAGACATTTCTCCAAAGAAGGCATAAAAATGGCAAAGAAGCATATGAAAACATGCTCAGCATCACTCATCATTAGAGAAATGCAAATCAAAACTATAATGAGATAAGGCTACAAAGCTATTAGGATGGTCACTATCAAAACAAAACAGAAAGCAACAGCCGTTGCTTTAGGGACGTACTTTAGGGGACTGTACTTTAGGGACTTTTTTAAATGGACGCTTCATTACATAGGCAGGATTGATAAAATCATTGCCCTTCGGTGATTCAGTCAGAACTCCAGTCCCTCCAGAGTCTGGGGGATGGAGCTGAGAGTTCCAACCTTCTAATTACAAAACTGGTTTCGCTCTCAAACAGTCCCCATCCTGAAGCGATCCAGGTGTCCCCAAACACAGTCATCTCATCAGCATACAAGAAGACAAGTAGTACCTCAGAGACTCCAAGGGTTTAAGAGCCGTGTGCCAGCAGCAAAGGGGTGAGAACCACATGGTGATAAAACATTCTGAAACTAGATAACGGGGACATTGCACAACACTGTGAATGTACTAAATGCCAATGTACTGCGCTGACTGTGGGAATGTCAACGGTGCCATCACTATAGATACAGTATGGAGGGGCACCTGGGTGGCTCAGTCGGCTAAGCGTCCAACTTGGGTTTTGGCTCAGGTTGTGATCTCAGGATCAAGCCCTACATCAGGCTCCTTCTCAGCAGGAAGTCTGCTTGAAAGATTTTCTCCCTCAGCGCCTCCCACCAGCTCTCACGTAAGCTTTCGCTCTCTCAAAATAAATAAATAAATCTTTAAAAAAAAGAAAGAAAGGAAAGAAAACGACAGTATGGAGGGGCACCTACCGGCTCATTTAGAAGAACACGCAACTCTTAATCTCAGGGTCATGAGTTTGAGCCCCATGTTGGGTATAGATTACTAAAAAAGAAATAACTTTAAAAAAAAACAGTATGAAGAGTTCTAAATATAGAATTACCATATGATATAGAAATTCTACTTGAGTATATATCCCAAAGAACTGAGAGAATCTAAAAGAGACACCTGAACACCCATGTTTGCTACAACATTACTCACAGCAGCCAAGAGGTAGAAGCCACCTAAATGTCCACTGACAGATGAATGGAGAAAAAAAATCATGTGCATTAAGATGGAAGGAAATCCTGCCACATGTTACAACACAGATTAACCTTAATGACATGATGCTAAATGAAGAAGCCAGACTCAAAAGGCCACATATTATATGATTCCATTTACGTGAAATGTCCATAAGAAGCAATTCCACGGAGACAGAAAGCAGATTACAGGTTGCCTGGCTGAGGGGAGAGGGCAACCAGGAGTGACTAAGTAAGTACGGGGCTTTCTCTGGGCTGTGTTCAGGAAAGACACACCTCTCAACACAACTCTACTACCCATATGTCCCTTCTGATCCTTCTGGTGACAAAATGTGTGTGGGTTTCTCCCTCACACCAAGCAATTCTCCAACTCTAGTGGATACCAACTGGGTGTCCTACAGATTAAGTCCATTTTCACACTGGCTCTCTGCAGAGAGCATCAGATCCCATAGGTTAAGAGCTCAGGCTACAGACCACCACTGCTCCCTTTACCCCCCGCCCCACACCACCCCAGTAAACTGGAGGTTCCCACAACCCCTCCTGGGGTTCCATCATTTGACAGAATGCCTTACAGAACTGAGGAAACGGTTTACTTACTAGATTTCCAGGTTACTACAAAGGCTCTAACTCAGGCTCAGTCAGATGAAAGAAATGCAGAGAACAAGGTATAGGGCGAGGGGTGTGGAGATCCCAAACCCTCTCCAGGAACACCACCCTCCCAGCACCACCATGTGTTCCCCAGCCCAGAAGCTCTCCAAACACTGTACTTTAGGGACTTTTTTAAATGGACGCTTCATTACATAGGCAGGATTGATAAAATCATTGCCCTTCGGTGATTCAGTCAGAACTCCAGTCCCTCCAGAGTCTGGGGGATGGAGCTGAGAGTTCCAACCTTCTAATTACAAAACTGGTTTCGCTCTCAAACAGTCCCCATCCTGAAGCGATCCAGGTGTCCCCAAACACAGTCATCTCATCAGCATACAAGAAGACAAGTAGTACCTCAGAGACTCCAAGGGTTTAAGAGCCATGTGCCAGCAGCAAAGGGGTGAGAACCACATGGTGATAAAACATTCTGAAACTAGATAACGGGGACATTGCACAACACTATGAATGTACTAAATGCCAATGTACTATACCCTTTATCTTATGTATTTATTTTTAAAGATTTTATTTATTTCTTTAGAGAGCACGAGTTGGGGAGGGGCAAAGGGAGAGAGAGAATCTCAAGCAAACTGTGCACTGAGCATGGAGACTGACGTGGGGCTCGATCACCACCCCGAGATCTTGTCCTGAGCCGAAATCAAGAGTCAAATGCGCCACCCACTGAGCCATCCAGGTGCTCCTGCTTCTCTTTAAAATGGTTTAAAAGGTGAATTTTCTTATGTGTATTTTACAGTATTTTTTTAAAAATTAAAAAGAGAATTTTCCAGGAAAAAATATAAATTACCACAACTGACTCAAGAAATGCAACATTTGAACGTTTAGATTCAATATTCAGTATTAGGAGTTTAGTATTAGGAAATCAATTCATGTAACTCAGACTTCACAGGTTAAAAAAAGAAAATTTAATATGAAAAGGCGGATGCTTCTTTAACCAAATAAAATATCTTTCATTCCTAGATATATTACGCTTAATGAGAAGACACCAAAAACATTCCTACGAAGGTCAAGAACATGATTAGGATGTAAACTACCCCCATTAACAATGTTCAAGGTACTACATAATCAGTTTTCTAGTCAAGCAAAAGGAAAAAAAAAACCCAAGAGCTATAAAAATGCAAGAAGATTATCATCATTTACAGATGATGTGACTGACTACTTGGAAAGCTCAGGAGTATTATATGAAAAACTGTTATAAATAATGAGAAAATTCAGCATGTTGGGTTAACTACAAAATTAATCAAAAGATGTGAATGTTTCTGCCATATACAAAACACAACTGGTTGGGTTATAATAGTGATGAAAGAGCCCCATTTCCAGAAACAGCAATAAATAAATAATACCCAGCAATAAATATAATTAACCATGTACAAGATCCATACTAACAAAACTTTAGGACCACCAGGAGGTGGACATAAATGAAGGGAAAAACCCATCATGTTCTTAAAGAGATAAAAATCAATAAAAAGCCAAGTTTTCTCTTCAATCTGTAAATTTACTGTGATCTCAAGTAAGAATAATGGCATGATTTTTTTTAAACCGGTATTCTAATTTGAAAGTTCAGATGGAAAAATAAAGGAGGAGAGCCAGGAAAATTCTGAAAAATAAGAATGAGGAGGAACTAGTCTACCAGATACTTAAAACCTTCAATAATGAAAACTGCTATTGGACACACAGACGAAGAGATTAATGAGACAGAACCGGAAGTCCAAACACAGATGCAGAGGTAACAGAGTGGATGATAAACGTGGCTATACAGATTAGTGGCGAAAAGATAAAATTAGTTAACAGATGCTGTTTGCATAAATGGACGACCACTGGAAGAGACTGGGAAATGCCATCTGGCGTGCAGGATACCCCACAGGGATCATCGCCAGCAGCACAAATGCACTAGGAAAAATCACAGGAGACTCATGTACAATGTCGAAGGGGGACGTCCTCTTTGATTATGATGCACACCCGCAGATCAAAGAAGTCAATAAAATTCAGCCCCTCAAACAATCAAACATATGCTGTCAAACTAAATGACAAACAGCAGCACATACTGTTCTCTTCTTCTTTCCTTTTTTTTTTTTTTAGAAGATTTTATTTATTTATTTGCAGGAGAGAGAGAAAGAGAGAGAGAGAGATCGCACAAGCAGGGGAGTGGCAGGCAGAGGGGGAGGCAGACTCCCCGCAAGCAAGGAGCCAGACGCTGGACTCGATCCCAGGACCCTGGGATCACGACCCGAGCTGAAGGCAGACGCTTAACCAACTGAGCCACCCAGGCACCCCCATATCTCCTCTCCTGATGCTCATTCCACACCCCACTCCGCTCGCTCCCAGGGGCCAACTACCACCTCCGTGTGGATGAGCCCACCACGTCCCTAACGTTTGGTTCCTCGTTCCCCACCCGACATCCTCTGACAGAACACTGCGTATGGTGAAAAGTGTTTCTGGTGGGAACTTGGTCAACCAACAACGCATTCTTGGTCTCGTGTCATCACACTTGAACTCTGGTTCTCCATCAGGGAAGACTTTGCCCCCGGGGGGCATCGGGCTGTATCTGGAACATTTCTGTCACAGCTGAAGGTGGGGAGGATTCCTAGCGACGAGTAGAAGCCATGGAGGCTGCCATCACCCCACCGTCCACTGGGTGCCCCCTTGCCTGCACCGTGTCAACACTGCGGAGGCTGAGGACCTCCGTCCAGAGCAAGAACCTCCCAGGCAGAGGGAAGAGCAAGGGAGCAGCCCTGAGGCAGGACGCGCTTGCGGCCTCAAAGCCTTGGCCGAGCGCTCAGGCTGCCGCGGCAGAGCGGAGCAGCCGTGACAGAGACCACACAGGGCCCACGGGGCCTGAAACATTTACTGTCTGGCCCGTTAGAGAAAACACTTGCCAACTCCTACATTAAAGGAAGAGCGAAGAGGCTTGTGTGGCTGGAGTGGAATGAGCCACAAGGAGAGAAGCAGGAGAGGACATCCCAGAGGAAGCGGGAGGCCGATCAGAGAGCAACACAGGCCAACAGAACTTTCTATGATGCTGAAAATGTTCCACGGTGCCCTCCTACGGTGGCCCCTAGCGACTCAAGGCTACTCGAGGCTAGGAGCACTTGAAATGTGGCTACAGGCTACATGGAGTGGAATGTTACACTTTACTTAATTTTAAAGTTAAAATTTAAACAGCACATGTGGCCGGTGGCTGTCGTATTGGATGGCAGACAGAGGCTTCTAGGCCACAGTATTGATTCTGGATTTTCTCTTGAGTGAGATGGGAATTTGCTAGTAGGTCTTGAGCAGAGACACACTACACCCGCACTGAAGTTCTGAGCTCCCTCTGGCTGCTGTGTGGACAATACAGTGTAGTGGGCCAGGACAGACGCAGAGGGATGGGGAGGAGGCTACTGCAGCAGTCCTAGCAGAGATGATGGCGCCGTGGGCGGAATGGTGCCAGTGGTATCGGTGAGAAGTGGTTAAGTTCTGGCCATATTTCAAGGTAGAGTCAACAGGACTTGCTGACAGACCGAATAAGAAAAGTCAGGAATGCTTTAAGAGTTTTTGACTTGAGCAAGTAGAAGAATTGAGCATCCAATTACTAGAGTGTGGAAGAAAGAGGGAAGAGCAAATTGTTAGGGAGGATAGAGGACTCCTTTCTGGACTAAGTTCAAAGTCCCCAGTGAAAACTAAGCGGGTATGACGAGAAGGCAGCTGACGAGGGTGCAAACATCCTGTGTCTGCACTGTCCAATGTGGTGGGCACAAGCCACAGACGGGCTACTGAACCTTTGAACTGTGGCAGGGCAATTGAGGTACTGATCTTTTTTAATGTACTTAATGGTAATTAATTTAAAGTACAATAGCCACATGGGGCCAGTGGCTCTGTACTGGACAACACAGGCACAAACAGTATTTACAGCATGGTAATGGAGAAGATCCTAGGGAAGGAAAAATAAACAGGAAAGAAGACAACCAAGTCTGAGCCCTGGGGGGAGCTCCAACATTTAAAGGAAATGAGAAAATCCCCTCAAAGGAGGCTGAAGGCAGTTTAATGAGGAAGTAGTGATGACCCAAATACACAGAAATGTTTCAGGAAGAAAGGAAGAACCACTTTTGTGAAATGAGGTCGACAAGCTACAAAAGATGGTAACTGGCACCTGGCCTCTGAGTTTGGCATCTTGGAGGGAAAATATTCTACTTTGACGGTCCTCTTTTCTCGTCCACCCACCAGACGGTTATCTGTGGTGGCTTCTGTCTTCCCACACAGGCCTCACTCACCTGGACACTGGCCTCTTCCTGCCGCTTCCTCTACTAGCCAGGGCTCTCTGCCTTGCTCCAGGAAGGAGATCACGTCAGGTTTGTAGATGGCAAGACCTGGAGGTGGGGAAAAAAACATGCCACCAGGCTATGGTGTGGGACCCCGGAACTCAGATCCAGGACCTGGTCAGTGAGCAGGAGAGGTGGTTGCAGGAGAGCCCAGAGGAAGATGTGACAGTTACCCGAGGGTCGGGGGAGATGCAGCAGCAGCCCAGGGAGCTGCTCTTTGACCACTCAACAGGTACCCGAAAATGGATAAGGAACAGATCTGCCAAGGGTAACGCAGAAACCAGCCGGCCAGGCCGTCTTACCCAGTGAGACCAGGTTGCTATAGGTCTCCAGCATCACGTCTCTGTATAAAACTCTCTGAGCGGGCGCCAGCCGTTCCCATTCTTCTCGGGAGAAGACTACGGCCACGTCCCTGAACAGGTCTGACTCCTGAAACAAGAGGCAGGTGTGTTATTAGCACATTTCAAGGAAATGCTACTTGGAGGGATGAGAGGAGACGGAGGAGATCTTTGCAGGAATGGGGTGTTCTGGTGAAAAAGAAGGTGGGGGTTGGAGGCCTCCAGTGTGAGCAGGTGACCAGAGAGGGCAGGCAAGAGTAACAGTGTCGTCGAGATGTTCTTGAGCATTCCTTCTTCCTACAAACCCAAGCTCTGTACACAGATCTGAGAGGAAAATTAAAATTCAACCAAGTGGAGTTTCCCCACTTGTGACAAGCAGCGTAGCAGAGCACGTCGCCTACTCTGTCCTTGGTGTACCACAAATTCTCAACAAGAGACCTGTAATTTCTACTTTCGTACAGTAACAACAAAAGAAAACAATTTTTGATAGACTTACCCTCAAATGTTTCATTAAAGAAATGTTTTCTAGGGGCGCCTGGGTGGCTCAGTGGGTTAAAGCCTCTGCCTTTGGCTCAGGTCATGGTCCCAGGGTCCTAGGATCGAGCCCCACATCGGGCTCTCTGCTAGGCGGGGAGCCTGCTTCCCTTCCTCTCTCTGCCTCTCCCTCTGCCTAGTTGCGATCTCTCTCTCTGTCAGATAAATAAACAAAATCTAAAAAATAAAAAAATAAATAAAAAAAAAAAAGAAATGTTTTCTAGCTTGGAAAATAGGATTTTCATATACACTGAGAATTAGCTGAAGACATAGGTTCATCAGGGGCACCTGGGTGGCTCAGTGGCTTAAGCCTCTGCCTTCGGCTCAAGTCATGATCTCAGGGTCCTGGGATGGAGCCCCGCATCGGGCTCTCTGCTCAGCAGGGAACCTGCTTCCCTTCCTCTCTTTCTGCCTGCCTCTCTGCCTATTTGTGATCTCTCTCTGTCAAATAAATAAATAAAATCTTAAAAAAAAAAAAAGACACAGGTTCATCATTATGTTAAAACATATCAAAGCATTCTTCCTTATGGAAAAATCGTAAATGAAGATTACTCTTATTAACTGTACGATTTTCTATCAAGCGACGAAATGACTCAGCCACCCTCTTATTTTGGATGCAGGGTTTGGATCAGACCTCTGAAGGCTCTTCCAAGCTCGGCCTATCAGGATTCTGAAAAAATCATCCGTCTGGTAGGTTACCTCACAGTGCCCTCACACCTGCACCCTTTTCGTTCTCAAGCTCAAGAAGCTGCTATAGAATGACCCAAATGCTCTGTCCGACCTCAAACCAGACCTTAAATCTGGCATCTAATCTCCCACAGACACCCAGCTAAGCCTCAACTACACACCCAATCACCAATCCCTCCCAAAGCAGGAGATCGTGCCTCACACTGAAACTGAGACCAAGCAAGACCTATCCCCATGCTTTTCCATGTCATATCCCTCATAAGCATTCATCTCCATTTCATCTAGCCTCGGTTTTTATTTTATCAAGGAAATGGGTTTCTGCTTTATCTAGCCTCCTGGCAGAACAACACACCGTCAGAAGATACGGAATGCTACACAGAATGAACCCATGGGCATTGGTCAGAGTGGAGGGGGCAGTGGGAGAGGAAACTAGCTGCCTGGTCTTTTTAGTTCCTAAAATGGGAACCTCTGAAAAGAGGATTCTTGGATGAAACCCAGGTGGGAGGCTTCAAGATAAACAAAGCAAATATTAACATGATTTTAAAACTCACAAGGGACATGACTTTAAGAATTTCATGGGCTGATGGGTCCTCCTCCTGGTTCCTCTCTTGGGAAGGGCAGAGTCCTGAGATGGCAGAGCTGGGGGAGGAAAGAGCAAACATGAGAAGCCAAGCTTGCCTTACAGCTCCCAGAATGCCATGGTTACAAGTCCCCACCTTTTTACCCCCCACTCCCCACAAAAACTAGAGTTGGAACACTGTGGCCCTTACCCAACTCTAGGAAGCATAGCTTTAGCTGTCTCAACGAGCGACACTTTTCTTTCCACTTTCCCTAAATATCCACGGAATCCCACCTTCTTACTGATGCAGACCTGTGATGGGGATGCTCAGTCCTGGTGCAGTGACTAAGACCACGTGGTGTCCCAAGGCCGAGCAAGGCTGTCCTCAGGCCAGGGAGCACAGTCTGCCTAATCGGCATTAGCCCAGCCCACACTGAAGCCTTCCCAGAAACAGACCCTTTAACTGTCTCATGTCCCCAGTGTAACACCTCCCTGGCTCCTTACCCAACTTCCAGATTCACGAAGAACCTTACAGCCCTACCTAAGGCCTGGTGGACACCACTTTGTGGACCCTGCCTTGAGCCCGCAGAGGGCGTGTGGTTGCAATGGGCAGATATGATGGCTCCATTACCATCACATAAATGTGCTCCTGCACAGAGACGAACAGTGAGCAAAGCTGTGTGCACAAAATTTACTGGAAAACACAACAAAAATGAGTACATAAAAGTCCACAAGTAGGCAGCTGGCTGAATCACTGTTGGCGGAGCCTCATGATGGAACACCCACGACTGTCGAAAATGATGTGGGGAAACGTTAACAAGTGGTGTCTTTACACAACATGAGAACATTCTGCAAAAGAGGTCGAACCACCCACCTGTTTGCACATGGGCTTAAAAACAGAACTGGAAAAAAAGAATCCAAGTATGAAGAACGAGGTCATTCAAGCACTTGGCGAGCTCGTCACCCAACGAGCAGCGTTCTACAAAGGAACGCTGAGCAGCGCCCGGCACTTTACAAATATTTATTTCTAGGAAACACCTAAATGAAGTAACTGATCGCTCCGAACGGGTAAGACACTTCTTCTTATTGTGACCACTGCCTGCCTGAGCATTATCTGTAACAGGTTTATCACATCTTATGCCACGAGCGGCCCGTGATTTACTCAACCATTTCCCCACTGTCGGACACAACTTGTAAAAGTACGAGATCATCTGAAACGGTCTCAAAGTGAAGCCTGCCTGGGCTTCTGAACGAGTCGCGCTCAATACTCTGAGGTCTTTGCAACTGTTTGAGAATCTCATGAAACAAGACTTTGTTCCACATTTTTAGAAAAAAGAAGAAAAGGCACGCGTAGGAAAGGCTGTAAATATCCACCAGCACTCCTGGGAGTCAGGGACCCTTCACACCCAACTAAGGGGTCCGGACACCGGGGCTATGAGCCCGGACGTGGAAAGGGGGCGCTCGCGGCGAGCGCGCGCCGCGGAGGCCGATGGGAAATGTAGTCCAGAGCCCTGAAAGCCGGAGACCGACGCTGGGGCGAGACGTTCCGGTTCTTCCCCGGCCCGAGACCCGCCCGGCCGTGGCGCCCGCTCCCGCAGGGACCCCGGTGCGCCTGGCAAGCTCCAAAGCCCCTCACCTGCCGCCTCCTCGGATTCAGGTGCCACCGTGGCCGTGCTCCGCGGAGCCGCGGCTGCGTTTCCTCTTCGGTATCGGCGGGCCCGCTGCCTGGAGCCGGAAGATGGCGCAGGCGCACAAAGCACCGCCGATGCTGCCTCGCGAGTGGGTCGTGGCCGCAGTCTCTTCTGGGAAACGTAGTCTCCAGGCGCGAAGGCGCAGCCGAGCCTCAAGGCCGGATCTCACGGTGTTTCGGGGTGGGCGGGGCGCGGGCGCGCCCGCGTGTGGCGGCGCCTAGTGCTCGAGCGGGTGCGTTGCAGTCTGGGGTCCCCGGGCAGGTGTGCGCGTCGCGAGCGCGTGTGCACGCGCTCGGCTCTCAGGTGGCGGGACGACGGGCGTGGTGTGCGGTTCGGGCCCGTCGTTGGGTGTGACTCGTACCGGCGCACGCCGGGTACACGCTCGTGGGAGACGGTCGCAGCGTCTGTGAAATGTCATTTATTCAGTCGTCACTTCCGCGGAGCAGTCGTTTTACCAGAAGGTTCGGAGGAGGGAAAAAGTCCGGGCTTATCTGAGAGCTACTTTTATTTACTTATTTTATTTTTTTAAAGATTTTATTTATTTATTCGACAAACAGAGATCACAAGTAGGCAGAGAGGCAGGCAGAGAGAGAGGGGGCAGCAGGCTCCCTGCTGAGCGGAGAGCCCGACGCGGGGCTCGATCCCAGGACCCTGGGATCATGACCCCAGCAGAAGGCAGCGGCTTTAACCCACGGAGCCGCCCAGGCGCCCCTGAGCGCTACTTTTAAACGTTCTCGTCTGTTTCCAAGTAAACGTGGTTCGGAAAGGAGAGCGCGGGGTGAGCCAAATGCTCCAGACGCCGATTTCACTGTGGATTTTAGCGATCCCTGCGCCGGTGTGGCCGTGAAGGTCCGCAGTCGCCCGCCCGTCCCCGCGCGTCCGCCGGAGCTGTCGAGTCTCCCGCTGTGGGGGGCAGCTCGGCCGCTCCTCTGGCGCCGCCCGCGGCTCGACTTCCGTGTGAGGGAGCGGGAGAAGCCCCGGGTGTGTGCGCCGCGCGAGCCCCCGCGGTCGCGTGTGGCGGGGCTGCCCGCGCGCTGCTGGCCCGGCCCGGGAGGCGCCTGAGGGACGAGGCCTCCTTCCCGTCCGCGCTGTCCCGGAGCCCCCGGAGCTGGCCTTGTTGCTCTTAGGACACGTCCTAACGACATGGCGCCGGCATGTGAATGACACGACGGGGTGACGGGTGCGTCCTCCGCTCCGAAGCGTCTGCGTCGTCGCGCACTTCCGGGGGTCCGCTCCTCCGAGTTAACCTGGAAGCGCAGCTCGAACCCAGCGGAAGTGCCGGCCGTGTTTTCCCTCTCGGAAGTGCACACGCGGCGGGAATGTCCGAGCGGAAGTAAGATGCCGGGAGCCAGGAGTCCTCTGCGAGAGAAGCCGGCCGGCGTGCGGGCCCTGCCAGGGGCTGCCGCGTGCCGGGGGCGCCCGCCGGCCGGTCGGAACACCCTGTCCCCTCCCGGTCTCCGCGCGCCGAGGGTGGAGATTGCGTCGGGAAAAAACCTCAGGGGCGCCTGGGGGCTCAGTCAGTTAAGCCTCTGCCTTCAGCTCAGGTCGCGATTCCGGGGTCCTGGGATGGAGCCCCGCATCGGCTTCTCTGCTCAGCAGGGAGCCTGCTTCCTCCTCTCTCTCTGCCTGCCTCTCTGTGATCTCTGCCTGTCAAATAAATAAATAAAATCTTTAAAAAAATAAAGCATTCTAAAAACGTTGTCTAATTTGGATGAATGGATAAAGAAGGTGTGGTATATGTACAATAACGGAACAGTACTCGGCCATTAACAAGAATGAAGCCTTGGGGCGCCTGGGTGGCTCAGTCGTTAAGCCTCTGCCTTCGGTTCAGGTCATGATCGCAGGGTCCTGGGATCCAGCCCTGCATCGGGCTTCCTGCTCAGCCGGAAGCCTGCTTCTCCCTCTCTCACTCCTGCTTGTGATCTCTCTCTCTCGCTGTGTCTGTCAAATAAAATCTTAAAAAAAAAAAAAAAGAAACCTTGCCATTTGCAACCATATGGATGTATCTAGAGGGGATGATGCTAAGTGAAAGACAAATACCATATAATTTTATTCTTATGTGGCATTTATTTAAGAGACAAAGAAAAAAAAGACTCTTCTTAAATATAGAGAACAAACTGCTGGTTACCTGAGAGGCGGTGGGTCTGGTGATGGGCAAAACAGATTAAGGAGGTTAAAACTACCCTTATCTTGATGAGCACTGAGTAATGTATTGAATTGTGGAATCACTATATTGTACACCTGCAACTGATGTAACACTGTGTGTTAAACCAAAAAAATTTAAAATTTAAAAATTTGAATATAGAAAAATTTTTTAAATTTTTTATAAACATATAATGTATTTTTAGCCCCAGGAGTACAGGTCTGTGAATCGCCAGGTTTACACACTTCACAGCACTCACCATAGCACACACACACCCCCAACAATGTCTATAACCCCACCACCCTCTCCTGACCCACCACCCCCTAGAAAAAATTTTTTTAAGTGATTATAACTTTCTGGTATTGGCTCTTGAATTGTCAGACAGCAGAAGAAAATAGAAAATCAGAAATACTACCAAATACAGAGGGAAATTTAGTGTATAATAGTTGGCAAATCACTGGGGTAAAAATGGACTTTTTAATAAATAACCTTGGGGAATAACTAAATAACTAGATCGTCATTTAGGGAAAAGAGTAAAACTGGATTCATACTTCACATCATGCAAAAGAATAAACTCCAAATCGATCAGAGGTTTAAATTCATAAAAGTACCAGAAACGTACAGAGTTGCCTTCATTTGTAGCCTGGATGTGTGAAAAGACTTTCTAGTGATGATGAAAAATCCAGACTTGAAAGACTGCTACCAATGAGAATGTAAAACTGAAACACTTTTGTATGGCGAAGTACACCATAAGCAAAGGCAACAGACAAATGACAGGAGAATATTTACAACCTTGTATATATCAGATAATATACAAAAGACAAAAACCAAAAAACTTCATGCAACTTCTGAACTAATTTAGAAATTGTTCTCATAATAACATGGGTGTTATGATTTGGAAGCAATTCTGTATGCATTGTAGCATTCAATAAATGTATTGATGGGAGCTGGTGTGTTCCTGTGGCACAAGAGAGATAAATAAGGGGTGATGGAAGGTAAAGAAGAAGCTGTGATGTTGGATTGATATAAACTAGTGATTAAAAATGTGGGTGTTGGGGCAGTTGGGGGCTCAGTGGGTTAAGCCTCTGCCTTCAGCTCAGGTCATGATCTCAGGGTCCTGGGATCGAGCCCCACATCGGGCTCTCTGCTCAGGAGGGAGCCTACTTCTCCCTCTCTCTCTGCCTGCCTCTCTGCCTACTTGTGATCTCTGTCAAATAAATAAATAAATTTTTTTTAAATGTGGGTGTCTATCTCACCCAGGTGATCAAGGTTAACATCACTAGTGATATCATTTTGATAGTGCATACTTTTGATGAGATGTGATTAAAATGGCATTTAACCTCTGTGGTCTTGCTCTCCAAAACATATAACCATAGTAGAATTAGAAAACATCAGACAAATGCCAGTTCAGGAACATTTTACATAATATGTGACCAGAACTCCTCAAAACTGTAAAGTTCAGTAAAAACAAGGAAAGTCTGAGAAACCCTACAACCAAGAGTAGCCTAAGGGGACATGACTGCTAAAAACAATGTATCCTGAATTAGATCCTGGAACAGAAAAAGGACGGTAGATAAAATCTATGAAAATCACATGGGAATAAAGTATGGACATTAGTTGGTAATGTATCAATTTTGGCTCATTAATTATAACACAAGCACCATACTACCATAAGATGTTAATAGTAGGGGACAGAGGTACAGGGTGTTTGCGAATTCTGAACTATCTTTGCAGTTTTTCTATAAATCAAAAACTTCTAAAAAAAGAAAAAGTATGAACTTCCTCATTAAACTCTTATCATTTCCTTTCAAAAATGTGTTTTGGGGCACCTGGGTGGCTCAGTGGTTTAAAGCCTCTGCCTTCGGCTCAGGTCATGATCCCAGGGTCCTAGGATTGAGCCCCGCATTGGGTTCTCTGCTTAGCGGGGGGCCTGCTTCCTCCTCTCTGCCTGCCTCTCTACCTACTTGTGGTCTCTGTTTGTCAAATAAATAAAGTCTTTTTAAAAATGTGTTTTTATATTTTCTGTTTCTATTTGGTGAATGGGCCTGGAAGCAGTGATGCCCCAGAGTAATGAACATAAAAACCTAGTGCCCAGACCGTGGTTTCTAAAGACCATTCTCCAGTAAAAGAAACCAAAGCTTCTTGGAGATGTGTCTGATTCTAGGACTGGAACAGGGAAAGTAAACAATGAATATGGGAATTTTCCTGTCCCAAAAAAATAGGGCAATGCTGAAAACACTGGGAGGATTCCCTGCCTTGAACAATAATAGTGTAATTGCACTAAACAGGCCATCACGCTCTTAACAAAAAATGAGATAATGTGTAGGAAACAAGTCTTTTCAGATATTGACAAGTAGTGCAAGACTTTGATCCCTGAGAGAATGGACATAAATGAGATCCTATCATTGCAATGGCTTTCTCTCTGAAGACCTATTACATACCAGAGTAAAGAGGAGGAACCAAGGCAGAGCACGGATTTGCTACGTTGACACAAACCAACAGTTTGGGAAGCTGGAGTGATTAGAATTTCTGGGGCAGAGTGTGGAAGAGTTGGTATTTCAACGAAACAAGACCTCGGTATCTGAGGATGGGGAAAGGCTCCCTGTGCCCTCTGAGTTGTAGAGGAGCCGGCGTGGTGGAACCTTAGAGAAAGATTTGGAGACGGACATTTGCTTCATGACATCATGAGGCCACAAGCCCTCATGGAACCAGAACCAAACAGAGTCTGAGCTGGCCCCCGGAGGAGAGGGTGGGACGGTTCCCAGAGACGAAGGTCACTGGGCCATTTCAGGCTTGTGCTAGGCTGACATTTCCAAGAAATGACCACAGGGGACAGGATTAACATCAGGGCCCTTGGTCAGACTTGTA